ATCCTTACCTCTGTCCTGGATCCAGTTACAACCAGTTCTTTAAAGACTTCAACCATAACAGAAATGTTCCTACATTTAAGACCATCCTATGAGTCAATTCCATTTGGAGGCATGCACCTCTTTGGCATAGCTCTTCCTAAATGCTACTAGACTAGGACTGCTTCCAGGGCTGGGAGCGCAGAGCAGGTAGGACGGAACCCCAACTGCTTGGAAAGGTGTAAACAAGAGAACAACACTTAAATGAAACAAACCACATAAATGAACCTCATGGTGATACTGGGGTAGTAAAATATTTTTGGTTGCAACCTTGCTATGGCTGCAGTGTTCAAGAAAAATTGTATAAAAGGCAATACATTTCTTACAATTCACCCAAAGTTCTTTTTTTCTGTTACTGTGGAAGCAATTGTAACTGTTCCCCTCTGTGATTTATAAAATATAAGGTGGCTAGAGAAAACAAGCACTTCACATGTTAGAGCTATTTATTCTTTTCAATAAAACTAGCTCCTAAAAAGGCCTAGCCAAAATCTAAGTTGCACTGTACACATGCACGCCTGATGATAAGCCACTTTACCCCAAGGCATGCAGCAACCCAGGCAAACACAAAAGACAAAAGCTAAACAAAAGTAGCCTTAGTTATCCTGAGTTTGAGCCTGTAAGCACATAGGTACATAACTGACTCTAAACACCTGAATGGTCTCACAAATGCTCACAAAGCTAGCAGTGGCTTAACACTCAACCCATATTTCAATGTATGTAGTACTAAGGATGGATTCGGATGCAGAGACATTTACATTCCTTACTGCCACGGTCGTCCCTTGGTGACGTAGGCATAAACTACCTGCGTGGATCAGGGACTACATGAGACCTACCTTTCCCACACGGTTTTTGGCAACGCAAGGGATTAAGGAGTAATTTTTGTCCTGACACAGTCCCACCCCATGTTACACATTGTAGGTTAAACTGCTTCAGAGAATATGCATGAAACTTCACCCATTGCTGCAGCCCTTTAAGCTTTGTAGCTGGGGGATAGATTTCCCAGTCACAGAGGTTCACTGAAAACAGAGGTAAGAGAAGGTTAAGAAAAAGGAAAAGGGCAGCTCCCAGAAAAAAAAATCCAGTAAAAAAAATAATCCAATTCCTCCACAGCACCTACAAAGCTGAAGAAAAGTATATGAACTCACCCATACAGTCCCGGGAAGTTTGGTCCCAGGGCGCTTGGAGGCAGAGGAATCAGAACTGCTATCCATCCACCTCTCCTCTTTTTTTTTTTTTTCTTTCTTTTTTTCCCTGTGTGCTGCAGCTATAGCTTATTTGCCTGACAGTTACCTTGTACTTGGTGCTGTGGTATGCAAAGGTTATTGGAATTTATATGCAAAGCTCAATGAATATAGAATTAAAAAATGCCTTAGAGACATTCCTGAAATGAGATGCCAAATCTCAGAAGTTGTATCTTTATGAGGAAAATTTGAATACAAAACACCAAGGTTTATGACTGTTGCACGTATTAATTCATACCAATCCATGTTATAAGAGGACTAAAGGGGCTATTTTTTATCTTGGGCTGAGACAGGAACTCTGCCAGATTTACTGACTTGCTGTGAGAAATCTACTTTATCTGGCTGATAGATACCTTTAAAATGTAAATCAGAATGGTGAGTTTATCACAAGGCTACCATTAGTAGACCATAAAATGCTTGGTGTTGCAGGTCACAAGAGATTTTGGGAACAAGGTGAGCAAACTGGTCAGCAAAACCAGACCCTAAACTTGACACTTTATTTCCTGTCTTAAATGAAAGTTACCAGAACTAAAATAAAAATAATTTTTATTATACATCCATAGCATTGGTAGCTAGCAATTACCATGACTTTGTGTGAGAGTCTAGATTTTAGAATATACTATTATAGTTGTGCAGACTCATGAATTCTTACCTGATCTGTGACCCAGGTACTTTGTCTGTCTGGAGAGAAAAAGGAAAACCAGCTGCCCTATGAAAACCCCAGATGTTCTCTTTAAGGAGACCTACCCATCTCTGTTCTCTCCAACCTTTGGGTTTGTGCCATATTTGTTGTGTCGTGAACTGGTCACTTCAGGAGTACCTTGTAGAGCAACCCAAGGCTCAGAAGCTTGAAATGCCAATGCTGGCAACAGATCACAAAGGCTAGAAATTTCCGCTGCAGACAACCAATATTTACATTAACACTTTCAAATGCATTCCATAACTGGAATGACAGCAGCCATGGTATTTCCATCCTATTAGAGTCGTTACTGATTTGTCCTCCTGCTGGTAAAAGCACATATTGCGCTCTCTGTGTCTTTTCCATGCACACATGCAAGCACACACAGGCAGATGATCAGCTTTCAAGGCATCCACAGATGGTTTCCCCATCAGGGTTTACTTTGCCATTTAGATCTCCTGTTTCACAGCCTCCTCTCTGTGTTGCAGTCCCTATTTTCTGTAATTAACTTCTGTTCCTCCCCCTATTTCTTTTACAAACGCTTTTCACTCTGATGCTTAGAGTCAACCATCTCCCCAAAGCACTGTGATATTTAACAGCATCCGGAAAAAATGTGGTTAGAGAATTGGGACACTTAAAGGAGACACTGCTCTCGTAAGTGTGCATTCACATTTTTGAATAGATATTCAGAGGGTGGGAATGTAGATGAGGGAGAAGCTATGAAAGGGCTTATTACTAATTAACTGTATCTATTTTTCCCCCTTTTAAACTGCTTTTTGTTTATCATTTCAGCTGGTAGGGTAATACACTAAATTAAAGCTGCAGAACACAATTATAATTAAGATTCAAAAAGCCAATTGCCTGTTAGTAAACTACCAATTGATAATAACCTAAGGGATATTTATAGCTCTTTGCTAAGTATGCCACAGATTTGCATCAATAACATACTTGCTAATCTCCAAACATTCAGTAGCCTTTTATTTACTATTGAAGGTAAGATTACTCTCAAGCCATCCTTTCTAAAAGTATTTTGCTTTCATCTTGTTTCCAGAGTTCAGCAAACACAGATGCTTCAGTCCTTTCCTCTCCTATGAAATAGTAATAATGGTATATAATTACCAACATCACACCATACAGAAAACCTTGCTATAAAGAACATACTATACATAGTTCAGTACTCACAACATCTTGCATTTCTACAGCTCCTTCTTTCTGAGTCATCTCACATATTCTATAGAGGAGAAACCAAACTGCCTTACCCAGGAGAGGAATCGGCCACCTTTGGGTACAGCCCCAACCATAGGCCACTAGTTTTCGTTCCTTTCACAGGGAGGTGGAGCAAGACCTATTTAAAGAGTTAAGAAAAATTACTGAAGTGATGGATTTTGTTTTGTGTTTGGTGTGTGTTACTGTGGGATTAATAACTAACCTTCGTAATTTCTTTTAATTATTATAAGACATCTGCATAACTGTCATTTCAGCTGCGTGATGGAGTGTAAATAGTTGCGATGTGGCTTTTTTTGTGAAATGTGTTTCTTGCATCACGTGTTTGCCGAAGTTTGAGTGGCCTCATAGCACTAATTATTGGAGTCATGATGAGACCCTAGGCATTATCCCATCATGTGTACAGCAGTAAGAGAACCAGCTTAGGCACAAGTGACTGCCTGCCATCCACTACTTCGGCACCGGAGGGGCAATTGATGAAGCATGAAGGTGTCTCATCTCTTATTGTGCCATGACTTCTCTTGAAACACGAGTGCCGAAAACTGCTAAGCGTGTGAGCACCTAAGTGATTGAGAAGAGATATGGCGTATACCAAGCAGTGAAGACACTGATGCAAAGTTACATGGTGGAGTAATGTAGGTTAAATTGAGCCTGAATTGTGGCTGTAGCTACTGCCACAAGTGAGGGGCTTGGAGACTAGAGCACACCTTCTTGGCAAAAAAGCCTGAGAGATCCCTTACAAAAATATAACTCTTTGTCAACTATTCCCTCAGTGGGAGAATGAGAGTTAAAAATTAATGATCTGCCCATTCCTTAGCCCTCCTTGATAGCGGGGTCCGGGCAAGGGAGAGGCAGGTCAGCGAACATGGGTGAGAAGATATTCCCAAACCTGAAGCAGGGCTGTGACTTCTCCCAGCCACAACTGGCCCTCTGGCAAAGACAAATGGGCAGGATGCAAGAGAGGGCTGTGGACACAGACGAGAACCCCGCTGTCACTACAACAGAAAGGATTGCAGCATGAGGGTGTCAGACAGCTTGCTAGGAGCCTAAGACAGCACAGGTTTCCCCTGCATCTCTTTTCTTTGGAGCTAGTCGATGTCATCCTTCCCATAGGTTGGCTGAGTGCAGGATGAATCCAGGTGACAATTATGCAAATGATTTCTGCTTCTTATGCTGCCTATCATGAATTTTATTATGGGTGGGCAAGGGAACTGACTCGCCCCAGGACTGGACAGATAATTACATGGTCATTACTAACCACATTACTGAAGGGTAAATATGGAGTTATATTTATCTATAAAATCAGCTCTTTCAACCCTAAGACTAATTCCACATTATTATGCAGCAATATGTAATTACTATAAGACAGCTTCTACCCTCAAAGAAGCAGGCACTATTCCAAATGAAATCTTTCAGGGTTTTAAGTAAACCATGCAACCTGATGGCAGGATTTGTCCTCTACCAACTACCCAATAAAAATTATAGAACTGTAACTAGAAAATAGGTAGTCACAAAAGACCCTATTACCAGGCATAAGCACTAACATTTCATATGCCATTCAGATACGGAACCAAAACCAATTTCTTTTTTTTTTTTTTAAGAAAGAAATGTTTTATGTGGAGAAACATGTTGCTATAACACTTAACCTTACCATCTCAGAGTGCCGATCACTTTAGGTTTGACTAGTGAGAGAAGGCACTACAAAGTCCCTCTGGAGGTAGATATTAGGTAAAATATAAGAGGAAAAGTAGCTATACCATAACTGCTGATGTTCCTTGTAACTCTTTTCATTTCTTGCAGATACTGTCGCGTGATTTACCATGGAAAAATTGCTCTGCAGCATCCTGGTGTTTGGAATGGCTGTCATGGTCAATGCTTGTCCCAAATATTGTGTCTGCCAGAACCTGTCTGAGTCTCTGGGGACTTTGTGTCCTTCCAAGGGTCTCCTATTTGTACCACTAGACATAGATCGAAGGACTGTTGAACTCCGACTTGGGGGCAACTTTATTATTAATATCAGCCGACAGGATTTTGCCAATATGTCTGGACTTGTTGACCTTACTTTGTCGAGAAATACCATCAGTTACATACAGCCCTACTCTTTCACTGACTTGGAGAGCCTTCGGTCTTTACATCTGGACAGCAACAGGCTGCCTGACATTGGAGAGGATATTTTGAGAGGCTTAATTAACCTTCAGCATTTGATTTTAAACAACAACCAGCTAAGCAGCATCTCCGATGAAGCCTTTGAGGATTTTTTGCTGACATTGGAAGACTTAGACCTTTCCTACAACAACCTCCGAAGTATTCCCTGGGAATCTATAAGAAAGATGATAAACTTGCATCAGCTCAGTTTGGATCATAACCTGATAGATTATATTACAGAGGGGACGTTTGCAGATCTTCAGAAATTGGCCAGATTGGATTTAACATCCAACAGACTTCAGAAGCTTCCCCCTGACCCTATATTTGCCAGATCTCAAGTAATTCCATTAGCTGTTACCCCGTTTTCTCCACCTTTGTCTCTCAGCTTCGGGGGCAACCCACTGCATTGCAACTGTGAGCTACTGTGGTTAAGGCGACTTGACAGAGATGATGATATGGAAACTTGTGCTTCTCCTCCAGGTCTAAAGGGAAGGTACTTCTGGTATGTACGGGAGGAAGAATTTGTTTGTGAGCCTCCTCTTATTACACAACATACTCACAAGTTGCTGGTTTTAGAAGGGCAAACTGCCACACTGAAATGCAAAGCCATTGGGGATCCCACCCCCATCATTCATTGGGTGGCCCCCGATGACCGTCTCATTGGGAACTCTTCGAGGACAGCTGTCTATGACAATGGCACCTTAGATATCCTCATCACCACCTCCAAGGATTACGGGACATTCACATGCATAGCAGCCAATGCTGCTGGAGAGTCCACTGCGACGATTGAGCTCTCAATTGTTCAGCTCCCCCATCTCAGCAACGGCACAGGCCGAGCAGCCCCACCAAAATCCAGGCTCTCGGACATCACCAGCTCCAGCAAGTCTAATCGTGGAGAAACAAAAGGCCCACCAGAAAGGGCTGTCCTGGTGTCAGATGTGACCACTACCTCAGCTTTGGTCAAGTGGACGGTGAGCAAGTCGGCCCCTCGGGTAAAAATGTATCAGCTGCAGTATAATTGCTCGGATGATGAAGTCCTGATCTACAGGTAAATGCAATTGCTGTTTTGTCTTCTGATGATGGCAGGGGGAGGAAATCAGAATATGAAGTCTTTTACTCTTAGGTCATTGATTTGACTTTGAACAGAGGTAGCACTGCCGCTGCCACTGGTAGCATTAGCAGTGCCTGATAAATTTGTGTTGTGCCTGTCAATTTATCTGTTGGTCTGTTCATCACTTTTCTAAGAAGTCATACATTACAATCTCTATAGTATTCATTCTCCAACAACAGTTTTTTTCAGTAAAATTTGCAATTTAGGAAAAAATAGTACCGCAGTTGGTAGCTTCCTTACTAGGCTTAACAAAGAAAGAAAAACTTGACAGGCTAGAAGTCAGAAGTTTCCCTTTCCACCTCCTGTAGGTGGGATTGAAACATACTACTGAGAGAGGAAGAGATGTGGGAGGAAGTTTGTGCTGTCTACCCATAACACAGGCTCTAATTATTCTGCGATTCAAGATTCGGGGTTGTTAGCAAGAGATTTTTCACCTACATGAAAAAAGCTTGTTTCTTACTTCAATAACATCTGTTTTACACAACTGTAATGGCTGAAAACTTTGGAGTATTTAATGTTTTATATCACATTGAATGCAAGAACAGATAGAGATAATTTCAAAAGCAAGCCCTGAATGTTCGTTATGCTCCTCCAGTTCTACAACACCTCTGATTTTTAATGATGTGAAGAAAGACCCTCTCTTGCAGTGAACCTAACTGTGAAAAAGAAAGAAGCAATAAATGTTAGGGATTAAAAAATGGGTAGGGAACTTCTTAACAGTACAGGAAAACAGTGTTACTGCTTTTTGTTTCTGTCTTGGAAGAATGATTGATGTAGTATGTTCATGCTAATGATGAATCCCTAGAAACCCCTCCTTTCCTGCCTTTTTATTGCAGAGGCAGCAGTATCAGATGCATTGAGCTGAAGTCTTGTCTTTGGATACATGTGAGCTACGAGCAGAAGTCAGAATCTCAGGGCAAAGTAGAACCAAACACATAAACTCCTATAGCTTTACAAGTATCCTGAAGCCAGTGGAGAAAAAATGGATCTGGTAGAGGAATAATGGGATTTGCATTTTGAATCTAATTTGAGAACAAACTCTGGCCAAAACATAGTCAAAGCCATTGATTTCCTCGGTGGGCTTGGGGTTGTTATCCACTGGTCTGCAGACTACTGTGTCCTGCAGCAAGAGCTGAGGCACCAGTCAGGTCATGGTACTCAGCCCACAGATCCCAGAGCAGACCTTGCTGTTTTCTTCCTTATCATAGTGTAATTTTCATTAACCTGAGAAAGTCAAAATGAGTGGTAGCAAATACTCATGTGACTTTTTTCACTCATTATTCTCCTACAATGAAATCTAATTTTAAAGTTTTGTTTTTTTTTTCAGAACTGAATATTTAGTCGACATGGACAAAATTTTGTGTCAGAAATATTTTTCTCTCAATCAGTTGTAGAACAGAAATAATAAAGTGATTTATTTAGCTACTCCAAACTTAGTCACTCTTTTCCAAAAGTTGGAATATTGACCAGCAAGTCCAAAGAACATTGTTATAAAAGGGTATTTATTCAAATACTGAAAAAATCTGAGGAAATTCAGTTCTGCTCACTTCCATTCCACAATTATTAAAATACTTTGAAATAATCAAATCAATTAGCAGGATCAAATTATTTGCCTTTCTCTGGCTAATGTACTGTGGAACTGGTGTGTTAGCTTTGGGACTTGCAACTATTCAGAGTTAAGTAGAATGAAAGGATAAGATAAAACTAAGTAATGATAGAGTAATAGGAATAGAATGAAAGAAAACATGCTAGTGTCAGTTTTTCCTGAGGCAAAGCTTTTGGCAAAAACTCAACAGTATTTAAGATCTTGACCCCAGCGGAAGGCTGAAAAAACACTCGGAAGGATGCGTGTAGTCATATGACACTGTATATTGAATTTGGCCCAGTGAACAGGAATATCCCTGCAACCAGAAAGAGATGTTAGCGGAGGTTGTCAGGTGTTGGAAGTGATTGGATCTTTTGATTTGCCAGAGAGGAGGATGGCCAGGGTAACTAAAACAATGTAGAAGCGAAGACATGCAATCTAGTAGCTGGAGGTGTGAGAATCGGGTGCTGTGGGCAGAAATAAGAGAAAGCTGCCATCTTGCCAGCCTGGTCTGGAGGAATAAGTGGCTGTCAAGATGTCAGGCAACCCTAAATTCTTTCACTGCCTTTCAATGAGGTTCTGGCCCTTTGTTGCTTTACTTGGTTGTGGCTCAGTTTTCCAGAAGCACAGTGAGGACCATGCTATTTCCATAAATCTCCCATCAGGCCTTTGTGAGTATTCATTGATGATGCATAGCTTTTTTCATTCACAGCTCTCAAAAACACTTCACCGAAGAAAACAAATTTTATTTTTCTACATTTTGCACTGGGGAAAAATGAAGCATAGAAAGATGAAGTGAATTGTCCAGCATCTGAGAGTTAATCAGTGGCACTCATAATATCAAAACCAGCTTTTATGACTTTCAGCCAGGGAACCACTCAGTCCCTTTGAGTTAATTAACTAAAGCTGTTTTGCTTTAATTGGTCAGATGCATGTCACTGCAATGAGCGTGTAGAAAAACCTAAGGGAAAAGGATTTCTACAGTGCTCTGCTCTATAAAATGCTGTGTATGTGCTAAATGGGATGTGATACTGCTTAGCTGCTGAAATGATGGGCACTTAATATACATTAAGATACGTCAGTACGTCAGGACTGAGGCACGCTGGCTGTGCTCAACTTGAAGGGATCCTGCCTCACTACTAAGAAATGTATGCACAAAAGGCAAAAGTTTGCTGCATTCTCTGCTAAGAATTTTTCATGAAGGTTGTATTCATAGCAAAAGAGTGAAAGTAGAAATTCTTCCTTCCCCATTGGCAGTAACATCTCTCCTGATCATTACCTTCTTCCATCCCAGCTGTGATCTTCCACTTGCAGGAGCTGCAGATGGTGCAAAGGGGACCCTGATGGGGTGCAATGGCCCCATGAAAATTCAAAGGTGCGAGAGAGAGTGGCAAGTGTTGTTGTTGGGCCTCTTGATTTCACTGAGCTGAAATGGTATCAGAGTCTGAAGTTTGGCTCTGGATACACCAGTGTCATCATGATGAGGATTAGCGGGACGAGCACTGTTTGTCTGCTTCCCCTATCTGACTTTCCCTTGTATTGCTGTCTCAAGGCCATTGCTGAAGCTACCAGCAGGTTTTTATCTCTTTCAGTGGATTCAGGATGCATATTTCTGATACTGATCTAATGAGCATGGTCCTGGATCAGCACTCTGTTCTACACGGCTTCCCAGAGTGAGAAGGAGAAGCTGAAGAGAAGGGAGTGATAGCTTGTGTAGATGTCTCAAAGAAGTAGTTTGGTCAATGTCAACTTGCAAAGACAAGGACTGCCCCTAACATTGGCACCAAATCAATAACCTGAGGCTGCTTAGAGGTGACTTGCTGTATTATCTCTTCCACATCATTGGCAAAAGGGAACGTTCTCTCTTTAGTGGGGCATGTGCTTAACTCTTAGTGGTATCTCAGAGCTTCCTTTTTGTGCCTTGACCTGTGCTCATATTGAAAAAAGATCCTGCAACAGGGGCCTGTGCTGGAGTTGTGTGTCACACACAGGTGAACACCATTGCTTTACTGATCTATGTGTGCTCCCAGTTAGCTCTTTCTCTCTCTGGCTTGTTCTTGCACTGTTTTTAGTAATCCTGCTGTCAAGATAATGACATTGTTTCACCTGGAACAGAACCAGGATTCCTCTCTTTCTAAGCAGAGTGAGAGGAAAGTTTGTTTTGCTTTTTGGTTGGGTTTTTTTTTTTTTACTTGCTTTTCTTGGGTTTTTCTCTTGTTTTGTATTTTTTCCCTTTTTCTGATTTATGTTGCTTATTCATTCTAACTTTTCTTTCCTCTTCACTGTCCTTAACTGTCCTATTCACCTTTGCGCCATTCAAACCCATGCTACCTTGGACGGAGAAAATGGAAATTGTTGGTAACGTTAGAAAGCCACATCATGGCCAGCAGGTGCCACAGAGAGAAGATAATAGATTGCTATCTATGTCTTCTGTTCATATACACAGGTTATGAGAGCAGGCCCTTTTAAAGTGGAAATTAAAATTTCAGTGAGAACTGCAAGTAATTTTTTTAAACTGCTGTCACATAATAAGGTCCTTGGCTGGCATATGTAGCCATGGTTCATGCTGCTCCAATCCAGCAAACTGAATATACATGGGCACTGATGGGATGCACCCACAAGTGATGAGGGATCTGGCTTGATGTCAGGGCGAGGCCATTAACTTTGAACAGTCATGGCAGTTGGGAAAGATACACGAGGACTAGAGGAAAGCAAATATCACTCCTATCTTCAAAACAGGCAAGAAGGAGGACCCTGGGAACTGCAGGCCAGTCAGCCTCACATCAGTCCCTGGGAAGGTGATGGAGCAACTAATCCTGGGAACCATTTCCAGCAATGTGATGGACAAGAGACTATTGGGAGTCATCAGCATGGATTCATAAAGTCATGCGTGACAAACCTGATAACCTTTTATGATGAAATAACTAGGTTGATAGATGAGGTGAGAGCAGTAGATGTTTACTTTGACTTCACCAAGTCTTTCAACACTGTCTTATAAGATTCTTGTAGAGAAGCTGATGAAGTATGGGCTGGATGAACAGTGAGATGGATTTAAAACTAGCCAAATGGCTGAGCCAGGAGGGTTGTGATCAGTGGCATGAAGTCCAGTTGGAGACCAGTAACTAGTGGTATACCTGAAGAATCACTACTGGTCTACAACCTATTTAACATCTGTTCCTATTTAATATCTTCATTAATGACCTGTATGATGGTGCAGAGTGTACCCTCAGCAATTTTACTGATGACACAAAACTGTGAGGAGTGGCTGATAGACCAGTGTCATGCTGTTATCCAGAGAGACCTCAACAGGCTGGAGAAATGGGCTGAGAGAAACCCCTTGATATTCAACAAG